GTGGAGAGATGCCTGCCACGGGCCTGGGTTTGATCATGGGTAGCTAAGTGTGTGTGCTGAGCCAAGAACAAAGAATCAACTGAAACTAGTGATGAATTAATATCTAGACTTCCCCATGGTAGTCAAAACTTTCTATAGATTCTAGAGTACCCAATAGTTACATATGTACTTGTCTAATTGTTGGCTGGGTGTGGAGACAGATTCTTATATTATTGTTGTTATAAAAGTGATGTACAGTTACATAAGCCACATAAAGAGTAAGTTTCTTTATGAACAATATCACCCCTTCCCTTGTTCTCTCCTAGTTTTGTCTTCCCATTCCCACCCATAAGTTGTATAGTTCATTTTTAACATAGTTTCCAGTAAGAACCATTGCTGAATCTGTTCACCCTTTGCCCCTCCATTTCTGTGCCTCTCTTTACTCTCCCAAAGACAGATAAATAAACAAACAGAACAAAAAAGAAAGAAAACAAAAACAGCACAAAAATTAAAAAAACGTTTGTTTTCATTTCTTGAAGTTCATTTCAATAACTATAATTTGTATGATCAGATGAAGGCAGATTCTTGATGCTTCTAATGCCTTAGCTTCAGACAGCCCTCCAAATCATATATTTTAAATAAATCCATTTGCTACAACTAAGTCATATAGTCAACATATTTTCTAGATATTATGTCTATATGGTTTGAGGGAACTGTGTTTGTGTGTGTGTGTGTGTGTGTGTGTGTGTGTGTTTGCCAGGACTATGACTCAAACTCAAGCCCACTGCCTCCACCCCCCGACCTGCACATCTAGTTCCAGCTTTTTGTTAGCTCATTCCAGAAAAAACTCTTCTGTACTTGTTTTAAATCTTGGTCATCAAATCTCAGCCTTAATGTTTCAGAGGGACAAGCTATGTATGTTTTTTAAATGAATGAAAATCCTCTTAACTTTTTATAAACTTCCATATCCAATCTTATCTATCCCACTTTATCACATTGAAAATAAAGAATGTAATTATTTTTTTAAATAGCACAATATAATATTTTAAATAGCCTAGGCTCAGAATCAGAGTCAAATACGGTCACACATGATGAAGAGGAAGTTTTTATTTTAAAATGACTTGTCCAAGCCCACTAGCCACTGAGACAGAGTCCATTTCTGGCTTCTTCCGTTCAGCATTTGTTCTAGGACAGAACATTTTCCAATCAAAAGAATTATCATTTAATAAATATGTGTTTATTTACAGCTTCTTGTGATATGGGCACTCAAGCACAATTTACTCATATCATCAATCCCTTAAAATATTCTGATTACAAATAAACTAAACATATCTACACCAATATCATTATAATTATTTTATTTAAAAATCATCCAGATACTGATAGTTCACACCTATAATTCTAGCTACTCAGGTAGCTACCTGGAGGATCAGAGTTCAAAATCACCCAGGGCAGGAAATATTGATGAGACCTCATTTCCAATTACCCAGTATACTGCCAGACTGGAGGCATGGCTCACTTGGTAATGCACCAGAAGATGAGCAAGAGTGGTATGCCTTGAGTTCAGTACCAGTATCAACATGCATATTTGCATGTTCATGCACACACACACACACAAATCTCAATAAATCAATATGTAATTTAAGTATATATTTTTTTCTTCTTCTTTTTTCTGGCAGTAGCAGGGCTTGAACTTAGAGTCTAGTGCTTGTTTGGCACTCTGTTGCTACAGCCAGGCCTCTAGTATTCCATCTACTGTTTAATTGGAAATGGGGGTCTCAAAGGCATTTTCTACCTAGGCTGTCTTTGAAACATTATCCTCCAGATCTCAGCCTACTAAAATCTAGGTGTAAGCTACCAGCACTAGGCAAAAGAGGTTCATTAAAAAAAAAATAAGAATGCACATGAATTTAAGATGTCAACTGAAATTATAAGGTGCAAATATCTGGTAGAAAAGTTTAAAATTAGATTGAGCTACTGAAGGAATCCTAAATGCCTAAAATATGCAAAATGTTCATGAGCATAAGGATTCACTATCACAAAGTTTTTCTCAAATTGACATACAGATATTAGGTTTTGCCATTTAGACTTCCAAAAAGGGAAATGGAAATTGAAAGCCAATTTTGACACTAATATTAATGACTAAAAAGACATAAAGAGCCAAAATTCATTTCAAGTGAAAATTGAAACTTTGAGACTGTTCCAGCAAGATATGGAGTCTCCTTTTAATAAAGACACAGATGTTTCCAGACGTGGATAAACCCGGTGTTCCTAGATATAGATAATCCAGATAAAGAAAACAGAGCCAACAGATAACACATGCAGCTAGGGAGCAGGTAGAGTAGTAAGTTATCAATGGAGTGGTAATCAAGTACTGGGCTCATGCCTCTTACCCTAACTACTCAGGAAGCAGAGAACAGGAGGATCATGGCTCCAGGCCAAACAGAAAAAAAAAATCATGAGGTCTCAACTTAATCAAAAGCTGGACACCATGATATAGGTCTATCATCCCAGCTACACAGGACACTAAGTAAAGAAATATTAGAGTTCAAGGGAAAAAAGGCAAAATGTTCTTGAGTCCCATCTCAGCAGATGAAGCAAAACATCGCTGTCATGGCAGGAGTCATAAGTGGGAGGACTGAAATTCAGGCTGGCTATGGAAAAATGTTAAGTCTATCAGAAAATAATGCAAAAATGTCTAAAGGCATGGCCTAAGTGGTAGAAGAACAGCCTGGCAAGCATGGAGGTTTGAACTGAAACCCAAGGATATTCAGAAAACAACACAAAATAAAACAAAAGAAAGTATTTTAAGCAACCACCCAACCAGAAGAAAAGAAAGAGGTGAACAAAGGAAACTATGGCAATAAGTATGCAGGTTTCTCAAAAAACTAAAAGTACAACTACCATATGATCCTGCCATACATCTTGGCCTCTATCCACAGAAATCAACTAGCATATAATCGAGATAATAGAGATACACATATGCCATTCCCAGCACTATTCACAACAACCAAACTGTGATATCAGCTGAAGTGCCACTCAACAGATGAATGGATAAAGAATGTAGTATATATTCACTATGGAATATTATTCAGACATAAAGAAGCACAAATATATGTTATTTTCAGGAAATGGTTGGAACTACAGATTAAAATAATCCAGATATAGAAAAAATAGCTGGTTTCCTATATGAAAATTTTAAAGTAAAAAAAAAAAGGTCTTGGACATAAAATGAGGACTGTTTGGAAATGAGTCCAGTGGGAGATGGATGGGATTAAAAAAAAGAGAACAAGAGAGGAACCCATCTTTTTATGCATGTTTAAAAAGGTCATAATAAAATCTACTTTAAAATTGCAACAATGATTAAAGGGGGAACAGAAATAAAATGAATAGTAGATGGTGAATATGACCACAGAACTGAATATACCTTTACAGAAATATCATGCTGATTGATAGGAGAAATGAAACAAGAATGTGAGAGAAAAATCCAGTCAATTATTTTATGGGCTTAGGTCCAACGCAACATATACAATAAACCCTTTAAAAAATAAAATGTGACAAACAAAAGACTAGATCAAATGTATTAATAGGTATTTCTCATATGAGACAACACAAGAGCCAATAACTCTAACAAAAGTTCCCCTACCTAAAGGAAATAGTAAATGCCATTTACTATCATGAGATAAGTCTCATGCCAGTAGTCATACTGGTGATGCTTTAAGTCTTGGTAAGGATCTGAAACAAAGGGAATGTTCCCATAGTGACAGATAAGGGTGTATATAGCTGATGAATGGTTTAGAAATCAAGTAAGTAGAGTAAATCCCCTGAACAACTAAAGCACTGTTTATCAAAACAAACACCAGGAAGTAGAAACATGTGTTTGGAGCGTGGGTAAAGGTGGGAAAGAGGAATGGAGGAAGGAAGAGTAATCAAATTCAGTCATTATATTCAATATACATTATATAGAAAATGAACGTTATGATTTGCTGATAAGGATTGAAGAGGGAAGATAGAGAAAAAATGAAAGGGGTAACACTGAGCAAGAAGCATTATCCTAATAACCTAACTTATGGAATTGTCCCCCTTTTGTTTAACTAGTCAATAACAACAATGACAATAATAATAATTGAAAAGAAATCAATTAAGCAATCTTAATAAACTGAGCTTACACATAAAGCTATTTAAGCTCTACTCTGCTGAGTGATACTACCTGGAGAAAGTTTCAGCATGGATCCATTAGACATGACCAGGTGCATGACTGTGCTTCAACCTCTTTTGTACATCAATAGCACTCTATTTTGCATTGTGATAATATTAAGATTTATTTGATGAAGGTATCTCTCAAAAGAATATTAAATAGTTGTACTCATAAACTGCCATGCTAATTTGAAGCCTTTTGTACAATGATATAATAATATAAACAATTCTAAAAATGTCCAGTAATTCTTTCTAAATTTCTTTTTTTTGGGGGGGGGTCCAGTCGTGGGGCCTGAACTCTGGGCCTGGGTGCTGTCCCTCAGCTCTTCAGCTCAAGGCTAGCGCTCTACCACTTGAGCCACAGCACCACGTCCAGCTTTTTTCTTTTTTGCTTATGTGGTGCTGAGGAATCGAACCCAGGGCCTCAGGCATGCAAGGCAAGTGCTCTATCACTGAGCCACCTTCCCAGCCCCTTCTTTCTAAATTTCTTACCCTGTCTGATCCTATAAAAATATAACACTGTTTGTACTTTAAGCAAAAATTGACACTATTTGGTAATGGAAAGTATATAGAGGTAGGCCTTGTCAGTTTGTGTTTCTTCTAGGTTACATTATTGACTAGATAGTCATACTGGTGATAATTAATAACATCTGTAAACTAGAATATCTAGCCAGTAACTATGTCAGATACAAATGAGAAAATGCTGAATATAATAGAATATTTTTTTCAAAAAGAAAAAATATATTTCTGTATCTACCTTGCTAACAATGGTGCTCAATACCCCATAAAGCACCCCACGGCCATGTTTCCCCACCCATGCTTACCAGTTGCTGGCCTTGAACACCCCAAGCTGCGTACTGCAAGATGGAGTCCTGCACTTCTGGAGGATTTAACTCCCAAACTTCCCTTGGAAAAAGTAAATAAGTTTACATGAACAACATGGCATCTGCAACAACAATATAGCTTGACAATTGCTCATAGAAAACAGAATGTCAAAGAACTTACTTAGTGTGTATGTTGTAAATCACATAGGAAGCAGTATATGAATAATGGAAAATCTGAAATAAGAAAGAGTAGAGTTATCTATCATTGTTTGGTATTAAAAATTCATTTATATACATACACAAACATAAGTATACACACACACACACACACACACACACATACACACACACACACACTCACACACACACACATATATGTTTCTGGTAAAATGTAGAAGTAAGTGTCTGGAAGAAATCAGAACACAAAATATTCCACTACAGGTTTACTCCTTCTTTTGAGCCTAGTCTTCTGATCATCAATACCACTTCACATCCTCTCTACGCAACAGTACATTTTTTCTTGGTCAAAATTTTCAGGGTCTCTCTATTGACTACACAATAATACACCAATGGCTCCATCCATTTGACATTCCAAGACAGTGCTGTTTCACCTATTGAATGTTCTTTAACCCTTATCCTCCAACCCCTCAATTCACCTAATAAACCCTGGAATGAAGTTCAGTGAATCCTCTGTATATCTTGTGCTTCTATTTTCCTTCCGATATCCAATCTTCACTGAGGTGGGAAGGCACCTCCCTCCTGTCCAACACCCCTCCCCCCGAGTGGAGCTCACGCTGACACCTCCTTGAAGTCTATTGCTCTCCTACTTCTCTAGAAGATGCTTAGAATGCTTCGTGCTCCATAATGTGAATTACACCAATATAGGTCTGTCTCTTTTCCTATGACAATGTTGGCAGGTACAGGTGTGTCCTACCTTTGAGTCCTCCATGCTATCTCAAATCATGTCATGTTTATATGTATCATGCAACTGTCATTTCTGGAACAATGATTCTGATTAGGATAGACTCATTCTTGTGGAAGTGCTTTTCCATGAATGCAAATAACCTCTACCCTTCCCTAGCAGTGGGTTAAACTTTAAGTTAAATGGTTGCTTTCAAATAAGTAATCTACCACACATTTTAGTACTGTCCTTGAGGAGATCTCCTCTTTTTCCTTTTTTTTCTTTTTTTTTTAAACAGTAATGAAGTTTGAACTCATTTGAGCAATGCTTCTAGCCTTTTGCTTTAGTCATTAATTGGATAGTGTCTCACACTTCCTCAGGGCTAGCCTCAGACAGCAAGCTCCCTACTTTCTGCCTCTGAGGTAGTTACAGAACACAACAACCAACTTACTGATTTAGAGAGGACTTTGCAAATTATTGATCCAGACATTGAAATTAAATCTTTTAAATCTCCATCTCCCGAGTAGCTGGGATTACAAGCGTAACCTAAGAGGCTAGGTAACATTCTTATTTCTTTTAAAAATAATTCCTTCAAAAATCAAAGCATCCATGGCAGGATGAGAAACTCAAACACAGGATGTTAACCAATAATGCAAAAATACCTTAACGTTTTAGTTCTTCCTAAGTAGAGATGATGGAACAGTGGGATATAAAGAAAATGAGGAAACTAGGAAGAGTATATTAGGAGAGAAAATGGTAAGCATGTTACTATGTCACCAAAAATTGTTTCTCTCTGAAGCTATGTGAATATGGTAAAAGACCTGTTTAATTAGCTACATTGTTATAGTATTATTTCTTGGATTTATATAGATACCTTCATTGTCAGTATACTTTCATAAAAGCATCTTTTCTTTCCTATAGTGCATACAATGCACACATATTATAATACTGTCAATTAACACTCCCTTGAAGTAAAATTGTTATTTCTTCTCACTGCAATAATAGCTTCAATTAAGCATGAATGGCCACCTATTTGGCAAAGTATCATTTGCATTCTTTCTTTACAATGAAATTCAAACCTTCTCACTCTATTTTACAGTATTGTGTTTCACAATGAGGCTTTGTTATCTGATTCTTTTGGAACATTTCAAATCTGAGATTGCCTTTACTTAAAAGATTATAAAAGGAGAAGTCATTTCTATTAGTGACAATGTATGTATTCACATTGTATTCTATAAGATTCCAACTGTATCAACTATAAATTTTAAAACTTAGATTTATTATAGTGGCTACAAAGAACTGTATCATGTGTTAATCTCCCATGATATTTTTTGGGGAAGGGATAGTCCTGGATCTTGAACTCAGGGCCTGGAGGAAGTTGCTTAGCTGCACCACTTCTGACTTTTTGGTGGCTAATTGGAGACAAGAGTGTCAGAGAATTTTCTGCGCTAGCTAGTTTTAAACTGTGATCCTCAGATCTGAATCTTCTGTGTTGAGAAAGCGAGCACAATGCTCCCAGAGTCTTGATATGAAGTAACAAGTAAATCTAAGCAAAAAGACATTTGCCAGTACAGAAGTGTCATGTGTATTCTGCACTGGTAACCTACTAATTGTACAATATAATCTAGAAGAAGAAAAGATGACTTTTGTAGAGTCTGCTGAGAGGTGAACACAATGAAAGTATAATATGAAATGAATATTAGCAATATTCATTTATTTAACAAATGTTTCTTTAACAAGCTCCTTGATACAGGTTACACATGGACTATCACTTTCTTATATTAATATATTAAATATATTAAAAGATGAGTATACTTGATAATTGTAGTGACTCCTATATGTTGTGTGCCAGTATATAAATGAACATTGCACATCATGTTCATTCTCAACCATCAGGCACCTTGCCAAATGCCAAGCCTATGATCAGTGTGAATTCTGTCCTCAAGGAGCTTATGATCAGTTGGAGTGACAATACTAAGAACCATCACCTAAGAACTCCTAGCATGGAGTAGTTTTGTACCAATAAATTGGGATGTTATAGACATCCTAATACATTAATCACTATAGTGATTAATCTCTTTAGTTTCAAGATTGTTTTATTTCAAAAGTAATAGTTGATTTAAGTATCAATGGAAATGATAGTTGAAATATAGTTAAATTTCTACATTTTTCCTGTGTTGAGGAACTAGGAATCAAACCAAGAATCTTTTATAGATCCTCTACTAGTGAGTTACATTCCCAGCTCTAACAGCAGTGGTTAAATAGAGCATCTAGACATTAATGACTCCTTTTTTCTCTGGACCAGAGTTTGAATTCAGAACCTCATGGTCATTTGGTTTGCTTCCTTGGCTGGTGCTCTATCACTTGAGCCATGCCTCCATCCTTGCTTTTTGTTGGCTTCAAATCATGATCTTCCAGATATGAATTTCCTGAGTAGCTAGGATTACAGATGTGAGGCCGCAGGCCCAGGTCATACTGCTGTTTAATATAATTCATACTTTTTTTTTGTTTAAATCAATCTCAAGAAGTAGGTATTATCATTCACAATTCAAGTGAAAAATCTATACAATGCTCCAACTTAAATTTTAAGTAGGAAACAGAGCCACAATATGACTGCATGGGTATCTAATTATAATCCACATTATAACTAAATTTATCTGCACAGAATCTTTCTGAAAGCTAGTACATGAAACATGACATTGGCTTTGCAAAGGATTCATTCCCAAAGGACCAATTAAGCTACCATTTAAAAAATTATTGTCAGAAATGCACATGAATTAATGGTGATCACTGCAGTTAAGCAAGATTTTGTTTTGGAAAGGTTATTTAATTTATGAAGTTAAACATGTAGATCCCCCCTTTTTCATCATCACCATCACCTTATTTTCTCTTAGAATACAAGTTATTACTTAAGACATGTCTGGGTTTTCATCCTCCAACCAGACGTTTGTATCTTTTATGCCAAAGCCTTTTCTGCAATGCAGTTAAACTGCTGAATTAATATAAATAGCATTTCTTTCCATGAATATTCAAATATTCCAGAGAATATTTGAAATAAGATTATGGATTTTCCATTGAATCAAACAGTGAGGCAAACTGAACTGTGAGAAAGGGACCCTGAATCTATAGAATTTATAAATGGATACCAGTAAGAGAACTCAAGACACAGGTGCAGGGGTGGAGATGGGGTGTTGGGTAGATTTCCCTTGGAAGTTGGTCACACATGATGCCAAATTTTCTCTAGGATAATGAGATGCCCTTTGAGAACAAGGAGTCCTGACCCTCTTGTTTGACTGATTTTGTCTTTATAATGCAGTGAAGGACTGGAGCCCTGTGGTAGGAGTGTTTGTTACCATCAATATGATCCACAAAATTATACAGCTGCCTTTTGAAAAATCAATTTAACATGCCTCTTTTAAAAAAGCTTTCTTTTAACAAGTTTTTTTATTGTAAAAATACTGTTCAGAGAGGTTACAGTTACATGAGCAAGGTAATGAGTGCATTTCCTATCAAGCATTGTTGCCTCCTCCTTTGTTTTCCCCTACCATCCCTTCCCTCCCCAATCCACAACTACACTTCCCCTCCACCCTGCCTAAAATGTAAAGTTCATTTTTCAACATAATGTCTTGTACATCTCATTGTTACAATGGGTCAGCCTGTATCCCTAATTAAACATTTTTCCCTTCCCCTCCCCAAATTAGACTGACATCAAATACAGTGAAAACAGAGGTTATACCGTGGGGAAGGGACATACAAAGCAACAAAAAAATTACATGGTACATTATAAATACTTTAGAAACAATAGCAAGAAAGAAGAAAAAACCACTTGTGTCCCTATCTTCGGGTTCATTTCATTTAACATCATCTTTTCTGGTCATATGTACATAGCTTTTGACCTTTTCTGCTTGTCTTAGATATGTACTAATTATTTCAAATAAAGGAAACCATGGGACCTATATTTTTTGGGACTGGCTTACTTCACTTAATGTAATTTTCTCCAGGTCTTGCCATTTCCTAACAAATAGGGCAATGTCATTCTTTCTGATGGAGGCATAGTTTTGAAGCTGCAGAACTTATGCATGGCAAAGGACATAGCTAACAAGATCAATAGAAAGCCCACAGATTGGGAGAAAATCTTCTCTAGCCACACAATGTATAAAGGTCTCATATCTAATATATAGTGGGAACTCAAAAAACTAAATCCCCCAACAACAAATCCTCAAAGAAACAACTGCTTGATAAATAAGTGGGCTAAAGACTTAAAGACAAATTTCTCTAAAGAGGAAATAAGAATGGCCAATAGACATATGAAGAAATGCTCAACTTCTCTAGC